CTTTCTATTGAATTCAGTGGGTATTGAAGTGGACCCTAATTCTGTAAAAGAAGTGAGCACCAGCCAAAGGTTTCAGCCCACAAGCATGTTGTGGTTAGGTGGATCTTAGTCCTGCTACCATAAAGTGGGGGGAGGGGGGCGGGATGAAGGGTAGTAGAACTGGTATCCCCAAGGGGAAAGGGTTTTGCGTGTGTGTGTGCTGGGAGCGGGCAAATAGGGTAACTTATACTAGTCCTGCACTGTATTAAGCATTTGCACCCTGCAAATCAAGGGAAAGGTGCCACTGAGCATGGTAGGAAGAGAGTAGCTGTTCTTCCTCTCCCAGGCAACATCAGTGTTTCCTTAGAATGGTAACAAGAAGTTCCCTGCCAACGCAGTGACAACAGGAATTTCAGATTTAGAAACACACAAAAAACAAAGTGACAGACATGGCTATTCACCCTCATCGGTAGGGAACAGGAACCACTGTATAAGTGGGGGGGGGAAGTTGGGTGATGAGGGCTATGTCTCTGTTGTCTTTATAAAGCTTCCTCCAAATACTCCATACTGGGACCAAGTACTAGGGAGGTAGATTTTCATAGGTTTGGGGGTTTTTTCTTACTATGGTGCTGATGTATATGTAAAGTTTAAAAAAAAAAGGTAATTTGTAAATATGTTTTTACAATTCTGCAGATATCACTGGGTCTACTATCTGTAAAATATATACATATAAATATATATATATATAAATATATATATACTGTTTGTTTAAAATAGAGTATTTTTATTTCATTCCTTAACTCATCCTTACTGCAGTGGTATTGCACTTCAGATGACGTCTAATTACTAATTTGTACTGTATCCCAGACAACAACTTGCTCCATTTTATTCAGATTTTTCTAGTTTTCTGTTTTTACTTTGTACATTAAGCATTGCTTATTTCCTTTTGAGACCTGTACAGAGCTCTGAAAATGTAGAAATGACCTGATGTTAACATACCACTTTTAAAGAAAAAAACAAAAACAAATAAAAGATTGTTATCTGAATTTAAAAACAGGTTGATTTGGAAAGTTCTCCCTCACAGAACCTCAGTGTCACCATAGTACCAGATACTAGCACTATTATCTTAGGGCTTTGGTGGAAGGAAAGAAATCTACATTAAAATAAGGGGTTGGGGTTTAGGAGCTATTTTATTTTGGTTGTGTAGCCATAAGTTAATCAGTAGATAGAAAGAGGCAGAATCTGTCTGGGTTTCTGGTTGCAGGAACGAACCAATAGCTTTGTTCTGTCATCGGTCTCTGTGGAGCTGCATAGTAGTTAACACTGCCAAAAGTTTTAATTGTAAGTCATTTTCACACTTTCCAGAGCACTCATTTTTTATGCTTATTTTTTCCAAGGTTGGACTGTGGTTAAAGGAGATTTTTGTATTAATTAAAACTATGAGCAAAATCACTTCAGTCCTTTATAAGTTACTGGAAGGGGGCCGAAAAAGGCTATCCCTGCTGCAGAAACAAAGCAAATTGCACTCGTTGAACAAGGTGACAGCAAATTCACGCATTATTTGTGTACTCCTCACCTGTACTAAGTCTGTTGCTTTTGACTGGTTTGGGTGGCATACTTCAAAAATAAAAAGATCAGCTTTTTATTGAGGGTGATCAGTATCTGCTGGGATCAAGCCCTTATTTATATAAAGTATATTTAAGTTGTATTATAATAGCAGCAATTTAATTTCCCCTCTGCTTTCCTTGGCAATAATAATCCATTTCCCTCCTTGTGAGTGACTAACTCAGCCCTTTGACCTGAACTGTAGTTTATCCAACTGAGAATCATATTATTGCCCTGTAAAACAAGAAGGGAAATGATATGAAAACCAGCATATTCCACTGCTGTAATTCAAAACCTCTTGACTATTAGTCCTGCCCCTGCCACTGAGCTTCTGTGTGGCCTTGGGAAATCTCTCGACTTGATTCTCAGTTACTTTATCAAAGCAATGGAATTCCATTAATAAATACATAAAGCCAATATTACTTATAATGAAGGTAATACCTACTTACCTGCCTGTTTCAGAGGGATGTTAGTGTTTGTCCAGCAATTGATAAAATTGCTTAAGTGGCTGGGTGAACTTATCAACCACATCACCCTGTCAATAATTTTAGGTAGCCTGCTGCCAAACTCTAAAAAGCAAATGCATTGCCTATATTTTTGGCTCCTTCTTTATTCTTTAACACTGTTCTTCAGTGCTGTTGAAGAGCTGCTGCTCTATTACACTACAAAAGTGGCACCTTACTTTGGAGCATGAAATCATTCCTACACAGTTTGTACTCGTTTGTGCCTTTTATAAAGTGGTGAGGGTCCTTTGGGATGTGATACAGGCATAGTACAAGACTCAAACTAGGAACAGAATAATACATGAAGGAAGATGTGTCTGAGCACTGCTAACAGTGGTGTTGTGGATCCTCTGGGATATACTGTACTTCCCTGATTTAACTTAGTTTCCTACCAGCTCCCCTCTCAGTCTTCCTGGAGGCAGCACTGCCTGGATGTGACTTTTCAAGGCATCATTGTGGCGAAGTGAGTTTTTTCTCTCCTTCCCTCTTTAGCACTCCAAGTCAAAGTGCACTGAAACCAACTGGAATGGGGACTGGATAAGGCCCTTTACCATCTGTTTTTTTCTCCTAGTACCACAAGGTAAGAGAATTCCTGTGGCCATAGCTCCTTCAAGACATGGCCTCAAGATCCCCCTGCAACCATATGTACCCCTCCTCTTCCCCATTTCCCCCACAAAGTTGTTGCATTTTATGTCTTCCCATAATATTATTCTCTAGTAATCTCGGTTGTAGCATTCACTACCCCCAAATGCTAGAATATGCCTTGTGATCAAGTAATAGCATCTGGATAACAACGTTGTTCAACTTCCACACTTTTGTATATGTAGTGTACTTTATCACTGACCTTCCTGTGGCAGGCTATTGGGAGCCTGCTCCCATGCCCTCTTGGACATATAAAGCCAGTGTGCCTCAAAGCAGGCCTTACATGCATTATATAGGCCTGAATGGCCAGAACTCTTAAGTGCTTGCTATTTTGTAGCTAAATCCCATTTTCAGGCATATGATAGAAGAGTTCTCTGCTGACTGGTTCTAACTTACCTGTATGTATCGTTACCCAAAGAATTAGAATAATCATTCTAATTTTATTTAGACCCATCTTGGTGTATATAATAGCTTTGCCTTCTCTTCTTCTGGCTTGTTTATGTCCCCTTCAGCACCCTGCTCTGAAAGCCAGTTACACCACAATGTGTTTTTTTCCTTGTAACAAAAAACATTTTCATAATCATTTTGCTGTTTGTTATCATTTCATGACTTTCTGAGCTCTGGTTGTGCTGGATTTCTTGCTTAGTCCCTCCCATAGCTCAGCATTCAGTGCCTCACTAAGGGACAGACATTCAAAAAGCCTGAGCCTGAATTGATTCAGTCTTTGCAGGTTAGTCTAACCTTCAACGCTTGAACCGATATGGAGGTGGATAGGCATTCCCTTTTCTAGGAATGTCAGGCTAGTTCTCAGGGGGGTGTCAGGGGGCACTTGAGTAGCCCTCCCTCCCCTTTCACAATGCTGAGCTGAGGGGGGCTTGGCAGGATGCTCTGATTAGGGAGGGCCTGCCCCACCCCATGATAACAGAGCATTTATCACCTCTGTTACCAGCATTTAGCACCCCATCAGAAAACAAAGTCTCTCTCATTAGTTCAAACTCTTCTTAAACAGCTTTTTCCAAGGAAGGAACTTTACCAGCAACCTGTTGATTAGCTCCAAGAAGCCCTAAGGAGACACTGTCCTGTCTGCCTTTATCCTGTCTGCCTTCCACAGATACCTCTCAGCCACATGCTGGCTACAGTCCATGCTGTGGGAGAGAGGAGGGAGGGATCTCTGCTTGAGCAGTGAGTGGTGGTGGTGGTGATGGTGGGGTGGGGATAGGGAAGAGGGAAGCCAGGCAGACACTGCCGTGCCTGCAAATCTCTGCCAGAGCTCCAGCCAGGGAGCAGAGGGGAGGGAACAGCCCAGCTCCCTGGAGCCCCCAGCTCAGCCAAGATGCTGGGGGACTCTGGTTTAACTTAGACCAGGAAGGGGTCTGGGACAGACACTGCATAAACCAGTTTGACTCCAAATTAGTTAAGTCTGATACTACATTCAACCAGGTTTATCTCAAACTGGTTTCAGCCATTTTCAAACTGGTTTATATGCACTGAACTTCTGTTCTGTTACAGGTTTAGATCAGTTTCTGATCACTTAAACTGGTTTAAGTGTAATGTCTGTCCCTAGCCTAAGAGTTAATGAAGTAGACACAACTGATTAACTAGCATCTATGCCTTATCAGGGTCTGTGTTGTTTCCTGAGCCTGTAGGATGCCCTATTGGCAGACCCTTGTTTTCATTTGGGCCCTGCCAACCTATTGCCCCCAAACTGAACGGCTTAGACACATCATTAATGACTTCTAACCCTTCCTGGAAAATGGCAACCATCTCAAGATAACCCTGGGGGATAAACCCATTCTGGCTTACAGACACCATCCCCTACCTGCAACAGTGTGTCTCAAGCAAGAATACCTAATGCCAATGCCTATTCTTTCCAAGGTATCAGATCTTGTTCTGGACCCAGATGCCAGCTGTACCCCCTCATCAATACAGATCACATCATCACTACACCAGATAACATGGATTGTGACATCTAAGGTTCATTCATCTGTCCTCTGCCATCATACACACCTTTACCTGCTTACAGTCCCCTTTGCTGTTGACAGTGTACAGACAGGGTGGTCCCTACATGAAAGAATGAATACCAGTTCTGACATAGATGTCAAAAAACACACAAGCCCGTGGCAGAACATTTTATCCTCCCTGGACATTACATCACTGACCTCAGAGTAGCTGTTCTTAGCCAACAAAACTAAAAGCCAGCTTGAACAGGAAATTGCGGACCAAGAAATCATCCACAGACTGGATTATATTAAGTA